GAGACCCAAAGTCCCGCCTCTCGACTCCCGACTCTGATTCGGGGCAACTTTAAAGTAATTGCCGGAATGGCAAATGAAATTTGAAGCATTTTCTATATGAAAGCAAATCAAATCACTTGCAATGCGCTTAATTTGCCGCACAATGCACGAATGCCAAAAAGTGCAGGGGGTAGTGGGGCGAAGAAAAATGCGAAAAAGACAGAAAATCAAGATACGAACTGAGGCGAAAACGAAAGCAAACTTGCCAAAAGAGAGAAATTGCTTTGGCATAACTAGGGGAAGTGCATAAAAATGACAGAGATTGTACTCCGGTACACTTGTATTTGCAATTGAGCGCACAAAAATTTTCATAAATTGCATCAATTTGAAGTCGAGAAAACGGGGAAGGACAAGGGATTGCTAGGTGGGTAGGGGCCCGTCCTCCACTCGTCCTCCGTTCGTCTCCTTTTTCATGCCAAAGGTAAGGGCTTCTCGATGTTGATTCTCCTTTTATTTTACTTTATTTTTTTTTTTTGTGTACTTACCCTTAAAGAGGGTATTATGATTTTGGATAGAAGAAAGAATGTACAATGCAATTGGCAGCCAGAGTCAATGCGTTTCTAGGGAAACTACTATTTATTTGAATATTCGCTGTATGAAGGAAGGATCCTTAAGGGTATGTTTATCTTCGGCTCCCAGAGATACCCCTACTTTACAGTTCTTTGAAAACAGTTTTCTCCCTAGAGCCAGACACACACACACGTGCAGGAAATCCTGTTGCGTCCCTCCTGGCACCCCACTGACTGCTACAAAGCGGCATATTATTTTTTATGATTTGATTTCCCTTTTTATATCGTGCCAGTATCCGTCGCGCCCCTCCGTTCCAACCACCCCTCGCCAAATGAACTCTAAAACGCTGTTGATTGTGTATTGAGTTACTGAGAATAGCAGCACAGCACTGACGGCAGCACATTAATAGAATGCGAAATCATGTTTACAACTTGATTGAACTCATCAGCATCGGGCCATCAGTCAGTCAGACAGACCTTCAGTCTGTCGGAGGCAGTCCCCCTAGCGCTATAGCGTTGTCTCCAGACATGCAATTCTATTTATAACGTAAGTCTCGACATTTGCAACAGCGCCAAGATCTGATTTCAACCCCCCCCTTCCCCTTGCATTCGGCAATCGCTCGGCGGCACGTGTGCTGGGGAGTTTAACTTTAATTGATTGCATTAGTATTCAATTACGTCTTGTTCTGCTCCATCTTTAGCTCCCTTTCTTATGCCTTATACCTACACTTACACTTATACTCATACTTATACCATTAATAATCAGATTAGTGCGGCAGAAATTCTAGTTCGGCCAGAGATGATTGTCTCTAGGCCCTTGGCCGCTAAGTCATCATTTTTATATATAATTTCCAATTATCATAATACGCTTTGTGAAGCCCCAGAAGGCAGGGAGCCAAGTCCTAATGGATATTGAAGCTGCAGGCGGAAAGACACCGCTGAGACACCTCCAGAGGGTTTTTCTGCGTCTGGTTCTGGGTGAAAAAGAATGTGTAACAGGTGTATCGGTTGTGCTCAGGGCCATTAGCTTTCTTCACCTGCAGGCCGACCCGAATTTAACTTATGGCTCGCCCCCGGTTTTGTCCACTTCTACTCAATTAGTTTTTCATTTTGGTCAATGATATCTCTACGCCTACTCTGATTGAAGCCGTCTGGCTGTCCCCGGCTGGCTTCTTCTGCCTCAGCAGTCAAAGGCTGAGCTGACCTTGCCCCAAGGCCCTCTCGAATCAAATCAGGCAATTGCCACACGGCCTTGGGCTCTGGGCTAATTTGATTGATTGGCTTGTGGGCAATGCGAGCATCTTTCCATATGGCCTCCACTATCACAGCATTTTTGCTGGTGCCGTTTTTGTTCGGCCAAGTCGGGAAATTATCATTTGGCTAATAAATTAAAACGCTTTATTTACGATTTGTGTCTCCTTTGCAGCTGCTTAAATATAAATAACACTCATTATGCGTGTCTCCCGAATACGAGTGTGTGAGTGCCCCTGCCGCGTGGACACATGTGGCATACAAAAGAGCCCCAGCCACGGTGACAGTGGGCCGTGGCACGTAGCGCCGGCTCTGTCGGGTGTGTGGTGCGTTTTGGACTGGGCAAAATGGTGCTGTGCGACTTGCGATTTGCTGTGCCCGCAAGAAAAATGTACTCCTAAATCTATGTGAAGTCAGCGGGCGACGTGGCTGGCCTTGGTGGCACGTTGCAAGGCACGTGGTGGCCTCCTCAAAACGTACTCCAGCCTACCACTTAGCCAGGAGCCTCCACTGACGGAGCGTGAAGTTTGTAAAATATGCAATATTATTGTACCTACATTTATTTCTTTTATGTAAATGTTTTTAAACAGTGAGAAGTATCCTATTTTTCTCGTGGTGCACTCATCATAATGCTATCATTGAGGGGCCACGAGGCATGCCACTCGACTGCAGCTAATTAATAACGCATTAAGCCGTACGACCACTGCCATTACCCTGTCCAGACCTATATCAAGTGTCCTGTTCTGTCCTGTTCAGTCCGTGCAAATTGCATATCCTTTTCAGTGGTGCTCGTCCGCTTAGATTGTCAGTGCTAATTAAGCGATTTGCCTGACTTGCACTCAATTAGAGGGCCGCCTCCGTGTCCGCATCCATTCCCGCCGACATGCAATTAGCCAAAGGGATTTTAAATTGGGTCTTAGTCTCAGTCTCAGTCTCAATCTCTGCCTCTGCCTCACCCCCAACCTCATTTCGGGGCCTCCGTTCAATTCATTTGCTCATTTGTCATTTGCGACGGCAGGGGCTGGGGCAGGGCAGGTGTAAATGCTTTAAAATTCAGTCAAAATCTCATAAAAGTTTAACAAAGCTGAAGCGAAAGGTAAACAGACTTGAGGAAAATTGCTGGCAATTACATTATTATTTGCATTCGGGGAGTTTCCCCCCGAGCCTCAAGCAAAACTTCGAGTGCCCTAAGTGGTTATGGCTTGGCTGGGCTTGGGGCTGGGGCTGGGGCGAGCGGCTGAGAGACGTGGCCGCTTTCTTATTGAGAAAAATCTTCGACAGAGTCCGAGGGTATTATGGCCATTGCCGGCCGGCTGTTCTCTGGAGTCTGTTTTGTATTGGCGAGGGATCGAAGAGGCGGTGCGAGTGGCTCGGGCCACGCGTATCCATCATTTTTCGACCGTAGTTTCCGTTTCCGTATTTCGTGGCCCTCTCTCTTGACGATTTCCCTCCGGTAGGTGTGAATGTGTGTGCGAGCCCTCCCAGACCCGCCACAGACCCCGCGTGCGTGTGGGTTTAAACTTTTCATAAACCTTAAGTGGAAAACTTTTATTTTATACCAGCCTCTGCCTCTGCCGCTGCCGCAGTCCCTCTTCTTCCTCATCTTCTGACCCAAATGCTATTGTGGCTGCCGCTGTTGCTGCTGTTTAGGCCACATATTCGCCTGCCTCGGAAATGGCGCAATATGTAGGCCCGGCGAGTGGTCGCCGGTCGCTGGTCGCCGGCCGCCGTTCGGGATAAAGAAAGTCACGTAAGGCGAAAGTTTCCCGAAATCATTTTAACGCCTTTTGAATTTTTTCACGATAACTTTTTCCCGCAGAGGCGGAAGCGTCCGAAGCGCCTGAAAGGAGGCAATAAAAATTGTCAAACAAATAAATATTTGTGGTGGGTGGGTCGCAGGGGCTGGTTTTGCGGAAGGGATGGTGTGGTGTGCATTCATAGCTCTGGGGAATTCATTTTCGACTCAAATGGAAAACATTTGTTTTATTGTTTTTTATGTTTTATCATCAGACGAATCCGAAAGTCTAAAGTTTTAATAATATTTAAACAACATAGAGCGCAAATCCTTTTTTTTTTGTTCAAAACCATGTTGTTTGGTTTTTCTTTAATATTAATTTCTATGTACATAAATTTAGTTGTTCGCGTTGACGTTGCCGGCAACATTTTCGACAGGCATCGCTGCATTTTAATGTCAAACGGTGGGCGCGGCTGTTGGAAAAGTCAGGAGCCGATTGGGGACCTAGCCAGGATGCTGACTTAAATACTCTGCAGTTCGAGGTCACTGTCAAATAATAGGTGATTCTTCTGACAGAGAATGCTAATTGGAATATTTGGATAGTTTTTTTGGTATAGAAAACTTATGAAACGTAAGACAAATGCAACCAAAACTGACAAATAATATGCATAGGGATACACAGAGATAAAATACATCGGTGGATAAGATAAAAGGTGCATAATAAATAACCATTAATCAAACCCTCCTAGAAGCGCATTTGCAGATCCGTAGAGCCCCAGAGATTTCACTCCTTTCATTATTTCCCGTTTGGTTTTTTAAATGTTTAATTTATTTATGCATGTTGCTTTTTAAATATATTTTGCTGCTGTCCCCTGAAAGTGGTGCTAGTCATGTGGGTGGAGGAGGTGGTTCTTCGTCCTTGCCGGGCGCTGGACATGTGCATATTTCATGACAAAATTGTATATTTTAGCGCAGAAGCCGATGGTGAAGCTTCGGGTGGTTTTCCCCAGCTTTCGTTCCCTGCCTTTCCCTGCTCTGTTCCTGCTCTGCTCCTCCTGCTTCTACTACTCGTGTTTGGTGTAAATTTCAAGCCAAGAGTAACACCTTTTTCCTGTCATGATGTTTTTAGTGCTTTCGGTATTGTTTGTGCAGACACAAACCCCTTTTTTTCCCTATTTTTCCTGACGTTTTTTTCGCGCAAATTTACATACATCATAGTCATTGGAGTTCAGGGCATTTTGATGGCTGCAGTTTAAATTTTTTGCTAGCCGCAAATTGAAAGAAAATAAAATGTAAAAAAAAAATGTTGTCTGATTTTTGTGGGCAGCGACTTTCAATTTTGCCAGCGACTGACAAAAGGCGGCGTTTTACCCTCTCAATTTTCCAGCTTTTTTCCCCATTCGCCTTTCCATGTTTGTTTAGTGAGATTGATTTGATTTGGCCAACCAAATGCAGAGTGCACAGGGGACGTACTCAATAGATTTATTTCTGATTTGCCATCCTTAAAGCTCTTTAATTGTAGCGCGCGATCATGGTCTGCAGATAGGCCTTGGCCTTGAAAACATTCACATAGAGATCCCCGTTAGTCGCCCCATCCACGCAGCTCGGTCCGTAGATGTTGATGCCACACAACCGCTCGCGGTGCACCAGCGGATCCCCCTTGGTCGTCTGACAGTCCATACGCTTGTTCGAGTTGTGGGCACAAAACATGGACTCTGTGATGTAGGCGTTCTCTACCTTGGCAAAGCTGCTCTTACAGGCCCGATTGGAGATGATTTGGGTGCGTAGAAAGTGCGGAGACCCCTTCGACATGTGCATGATGATAGTGTCCGCCCGCCTGGGGGGAGCATCACAAAGGGCGACTGTCTGCACTTCAGGCTCCACGACGAATGTTTTTAGCACCATCAAAGCCATATACCGGTCCAGACCCGAGGAGGGGCCGAGAATTATGCTGCTCACCTCATACAGTGCATTCTGGGTGACCTGCACCTTATAATCCCTTGGCACTGGAGTCTGATTGGGCGGAAAGCACTGCGAAGAGGTCAGGACCAGGCGGTAGGAGATCAGGGCTCCAGTGCAGGGGGTGTTCGAACCCATCGCGTACATCTTAATTAGGAATTTAGTGGCTACTATTGGGCTGGCCCTGGCTATGATGTTGAAGGTTTTGGCGAGCGTCTGCTCCGCGTGGTTAGCTGTGTTTGTGTTGGGGTTCTTGTTGAACTGGCTCTCCAGGTGGGGGGCAAAGATCTCGAGGCTGTCCGCCGCCGTTGTGTTCTCAATCTGTCCATCTTGGGGCCTGTAGGGATGCGGCACCACGTACTCGATGATACGCACTATCTGGTAGGGCTGTCCGCTGGCCGGCATCTCTCCTACCATCAACTGGGGAATGGGCTGCTTGACCGCCTGGTTGGTTGTCACTGAGGTCCAGCAGAGTACGAGCAGCAGGCGCATTGGCAGCATAATGATGAGGGTACTGGCCCATTCCTAACCCAACGACTAGGGGCATACAAAATTATTTTATGGCATTCAAATTTCAATTTCTCACGCCTCAACATCTCAACCTAACAGCTTCTGTATGAAATGGCTAATCAGAGCTCGCAGTTTTTCCAGATCAATATAGAGATCGGCATTTAGGGAGTGTGCCCGACAGCGGGATCCGTAGACATTCAATCCGCACAGCTGACGGTCCACCAATAAGGCATCTCCCTGCTCTGTGACGCACTTCTCTGGGCTCTGGGAGTTCTGCAGGCACAGCATATTGGGAGTGATGTAGACGCTCTCTTCCTGCAGAAAGGTCATCTTGCAGGCCTGGTTAGACACGACCTGGCTGTGCCTACGTCCAAAGAAGCTGAGGTCGTTGCTGGCCATCAGCATGGAGGCATTGTCGCCCATCTTTAGGGTCGTGGAGCACAGTCCAATCGGCTGTCCCGGGGCTGCTGTCACCAGGGTGATTAGGATTACCTCGGGGCTGGATCGGAACCACTCAAGCTTAGCCACTGGGTGAGTGCTCCCTCCGCTGGTGAGGATATGCACTTGACTAGAAGGAACTCCACTCAAGCAGCTGCTGGAGCTGATCACCAGGCGTGGCGCCAACAGGGCCCCACTGCATCGAACGGAGCTCCGAACCTTTAGCTTTACTATGAAGCTGTAATCCTTTACTTGAGAGTCATGCTTCCTCTTGGCAGCGCGTTGCTGCAGTTGCTCCAAGCTAAGCCGTTTGTAGTGGTTGATAATGCGCACGATCTGCTGATTGGGGGGAATCTGATGCCGTGCTTCACCTGCCACTGTTGGGTATATCACATGCATCCTGCAATCCTTGCAGTTCGGAATCCCAGAACCCCATCCGCCGCACAGCCAAAGCCCCAGAAGACAAACAACCAACGAATGCATCGTCCATCGACATCGACTGGTGATGGCTGCCAGCTTACTTTTATTTATGGCACATTTGATGCGCCTGTCAAAGCCGGAAGCTACGCTTCGGTCCACACGACGTATGCGTAATCAAAATGTTGTGCCAAGCAAACTGCAAACACAAACGACAGGCAGTTGACAGTTTTCCAGCTGCCTCTGCCCGTTGACCAGGTGTCAGATCTAATGACCAAACACGCGCCAAACAAATAAACAGGGCAAATGCAATGCGATAGCTTTTGACGCCACTTCATTGGAAGTTGGGAAAGTGTTTGGGAGAACAGAACGGGAACTCTAGAAAAAAGTTTGATAAACTTTTATACCGACAAAACAAAACACTTAAAACACTACGCAGAACAAATCTTCAGTCAATGATAGAGGAGAAGGAGAGTCACAGAGCTATAAAGTGCAATATATAAAAATTAAAGGGCTAATTTTTTAAGTATTTTAAGTCTCGTAAGATCGTAGGTTTGGCTTTTATTTGTATTACCCTACCGGAATTTCAAGGACTTTCGGGAAATGTAGAAATTCTGCGACCGGTTAAGAATCTATTCACAATCTTGATTCGGTAAGGAATTTCTGAGCCTTACTGCAATTCGAGGTTTTCAATCTATATCCCTTGTTTCTCCCAAACTGTGGGTGTCTTTCCGGCAATTTGAAAATTGTTTTTGTGCATTTCACTAAATTAAGAAGAATGGTGGTGGCTGCGTCTATTGCTGGACCGATGGGCCGATGGACCTATGGACCGCTGGCCGGCTCTGCTCATTTGCAGAATTTATGGCTGGCGCTTAAACTGAATTGACAATCAATGGTCTCTGGGAGATGGTCCATGTGCTTTGGCCTAGAGTAGAGAGGGACCCAGACCAAGAGCCTGGCCAGGGACAGAGCTCATAAACAATGCGGCCAATTTACATGCCCAGGGATCGACCGCATGTGTGTGTCGTTCTCTGTATTGTGTATCTGTGTGTGGGGCTGTGTGTGTGTGTGTGTCGATGTGAATGAGACCTTGCTGTTGCTTTTATTGTTGTCGTTGGAAATGAAAAATTGTCCCTTTGTTGCATATAAAAACAATGGGGCCGAAGAACTTGAAATCAATTTCAAACGTTTTAGGCAAAGCCAATTGATTTATTTGTTGTGTGACTCTCTTTCTCTCTTTCTCTGGTGGGCGATTGTGTGCGTATTTGCTTGGGTGTGTCTGTGTGGGAAACACTATTGTTTTGTATTACTTTTGCCTTGAATAAAGCCCTAAGAGCTTACGCTGGCAGGTCTTTGAAATGTGGCACCATTTCCGACCTCGCTCTCTCTTTTTGTGTGTGTTCGTGTATTTCCCAAAAACTTAAAGCTTGACCCAAAACAATTAACACTGAGTGCCAAAAGTCAAGGGCTGCCTGCGCAGCTTTCGCTATTTTTTCAGCCTTACACTTGATAAACTTTTTATTGCTTCCAAACAATTTAAAACTGAGAGCTGGCTGAATTACAATAATGGGAAACGAGAGAAGAGTCGTCGGCCAATTGGCAAGATAAACTGCTGCAGCTGCTCGAAGTCGGAGACGGAGACGGAGACCCACTGGACAGAGACAGAGACGAAATTCGAATTGGTAATTGAATAAAAACAACGGGCAATGATGCGACGGACCAAACAAGTTTCCAATGGAGACGCCGAGGGAGGACGGAGCTCCAGTTTTATATAATACTGATACTGTATACCCTCTGTGGTTTCACTGCGTTTGATTGTCCGCTCTCTGACACATATCGCAGTGCAATGGAGCATGAAATAAATGAAGAGGCCATGCCGGGACAGACACCCAACCTCCCAAGGTCTCGAAACCAAAGCCAGAACCCGCTTCCTGATGGCCTTTGGACATTTTTACGCCTTTTATACAGTTGACTGCATAAATTCATGGGATATGGTTACGCATTTTAAACAACGCTTCCTTCAGCTCCAGCTCCTGCTCCTCGTGCTCGTGCTCCTGCTTCTGCCACAGAATTGAATTGGGTTTCGAGTGGGGTGTCGGTGTCGGCCAGCAGATCTTTGTCTCTCTCATCCAGATGAAAAGAATTGGCAAACACTGGCCCTATCTGTATCTTAGGCGGTCTAAACAGATGGTGAAGGCTGCAGATAGCTGCAGCTTAAAGCTGATTCCATGCCACAAAGGGGCATAGGACGGGCTGGTATGGTGCTCCCACTTGTTGCCTTGTTACGGGGGAAGTTTCCTTTTCGGCCCCTGGAGCCCTGCTCATTATTGTGAAATGTTTTGGGCCAAGCTTTAGTTTCAAGTTTGATTTGTTTGCACATGAGCTTTTGACGGGAACGAAGCTGATGGCCGGGGAGGGGGGATGAGACGGTTTTGCTGGCAGCTAACAAGTTGCAAATTAAGCTAAAACAAGGGGGGAGACTGTGGCATAGGGGACGAAGGTTTTGATACCCTTTCAGGTTTGATGTTGCTATGGCCACAATGGGATTTATTCAACTGATTTTAAAGCCTTGATCCCTCTTTAAATTAATGGTCTTCGACCAACCTTTGATATTAAAGCCATACAGGATCGGAGAAGCTTCCTTCGTGGCGTTGCAAAATTGTGATCCAAATCGTAATACCTTCTGCCGCCAGGGAATGCTATGTATTTTGGCAAATGTGCAAGAGTGGGAGAGTGGGAAACAGATACAAATACATGCATGTAAACGAGCATAAAAACCGCACAGCCAAACGCACTAACAAGCAGCAGTAATCAGTGTGGCAGCAACAAAAGTTGAGGAGAGTCGCCTGTAGCAGGCGGAGTTGCATAGAGAGGAAATTACATGCACAGGAGTTGAAACAATAGCTGGAGAGTCTGCTGGCACAGGCTGCTCATCATCATTGTCCTCATCATCATCATCATCATCAGGAGGAGCAACACCAGCAAGACCAACAACACCATCGACACTGCCCTCCCCCACCCAAGGGCTATTGACCCAATTTTTGGGACAAACAATGGACCCGTACAAAAGAAATCACAAAAGCCGAGCCAAATCTCGGGCCCGAGCCAAAAACCACTTGACAATCCCGGCCAGGACTCTGGTCTCTGGTCGCTGGTCTCTGGACTCTGTCGCTGGGGCAGTGTGCCAAATGCTTGGCTATGAGCAATGTGTGTTTACCACTGGCCAGAGTAGAGTCGCCTCCGACGCCCCACGGCGCCCACTGATTTCCGCTTTCCCATTGGCAGGGCGACAGGCGACAAAACAAGTGAAAGTTTATTACATCTTGGCCAGCACCCCACCTCGCCGCCTCGCCGCTCCAGAGAACGCATCCTCAGACAAACGAAAATCAATAAAATGCAATTGGAAGGCAAATGACCCATATAACCCTCAGCTCTCTCAGCTCTCAGTCCCCCAAGTCCAGAGTGCACAGTGCAGCCATGGCGGATAACCAGACCAGTCCATGGCCCAGGCCTGCGGCAAGGAGCAGGCAAGTAGCTTGCCAGCCTGCGGCTGAGCGTAATTGTGCCAAATTATAAATTATTTCGAATTTGCCATGGAGCAAACGGGGCTGCGGAGGCTCCAAGGATGAAAGGGGATACGACCCGCCATTGCCTGCAATTAATTTTGTGCAGCGCCAATTGAATGGCGAATGGAGAATGGCGAAGGAGGTCTGGAGTAGGGAGTGGAAAGTGGAGTGTGGAGAGTGGAGAGTGGAGCCCTGAAGCCGTGGAGAGGGTCTGCCTGTGGGGCAGAGGCTAAGCGCATAATTTAAATTTCTAATTAACAGTCAAATAAATTGTGCCAGCTGCCAGCATCGTGGCTATTGAGCCGTGCCAAGTGATTTTATGGCTAAAATGCTCATTAAATTAACGGCAATTTGCTGCCCCCGACAAGCTGCAAGGTGCAACGGGGCAGCAAGGAAGCTGGCATCCTCTGCGGCGTCCTCGAAACGGAATGCACCCTTTGGCATCATTTGTTTTTCTGATTGCACCGCCAGAGTGAAAGAGTTTTGCGTTTATTTATTCACATGCCAATAGAGTTTAAGGATGGTTTAGGGCCACAAAACAAATCTCCCTTCAATCTCATTTGAAAGGGGTGCTCAATGGAACTCCTCTATGGCTAATTAGAGCCGCACACATGGCGTATGTGCTCTTTTTTGTGGATGTGGAATGTG